TCTATCTGTTTTATTTAGGTAAAAATTGCTAATTGTTTATTTAGTTATTTTATATTTATTTTCTATCTGTTTCATTTAGATATTAAACACTGAGTATTGTTTACTTAGTTACTTTCTATTTATTTTCTATCTGTTTTATTTAGGTATTAAACACTGACTATTGTTTATTTAGTTATTTTCTATTTATTTTTTATCTGTTTTACTTAGATATTAAACACTAACTATTGTTTACTTAGATACTTTCTGTTTATTTTCTATCTGTTTTATTTAGGTATTAAACACTGCTAATTGTTTATTTAGTTATTTTCTATTTAATTTCCATCAGTTTTATTTAGGTATTAAACACCGACTATTGTTTATTTTAATTACTTTAGTTATTTTCTATTTATTTTCTATTCTTCTGTTACGCAACCTCGAAATTACGATTGTATAAATCTCCTATCTTGTATCTATTTGTGATATTTGGACGATGTACAAACTATGTCTATATAGATAATAGATCTACCTATCTGAAACTAAGATCTAGTATTTAAGGAAACGAGGAAGAGGTAATAGAAAGTAATGGCAAGGATGCGTTGTGGGAATATGGAGGAAGTAAGTAGGTTCTGGATAGCGGATAAGAAAATAAAGTGTATATTCTGTGTGGTAAGAGATGGGGCATTAAGGCGCTACATAGAAAGCAGCGGAGAAATGAGAAAAATGATGGGTAACTTGAAAAGAGTGAGAGAAGGTACAGATAAGGTGAGGATGCGGTTAAATGGAAGAAACTGGAGATCAAGGAGAAAAGATAAAAATAAGTTTATACGATCAGGAAAGATTGAGAAATTGAAATCAATCAATTAGTTAATTTAGGTTAATTAATGTAAGGTCAGTTAGGTTAATTAATGAGTTTAGTGTATAAAAAGGAGTTACAAAGTTGTGAAAAAAAAACAAATGAAAAAAATCGAAAATTCTATTTCCTGACTAACGAGACCGAAATAAAGAATCAACATAAACATATGCTATCATTTAATATAAAAAAAAAAATGAATTATAATGATGCGACATTACGACATAATCTTAGAAAACGGAATAAGAAAAACATTAAATCATTCTACATTACCGAATTACTAAAATACATAAAATATTAATTTTATTTCAAATTACTACAAAAGAGTTAGAGATAGGAACGCTAAGAAAAACTTGCTTTATTATTTTATATTTATTGATCTTGCATCGAAACGAAATATTATATAGGATGTCCCGGTATTAAAAGTACAATCGAGAAAGGAGTGCTTCGTGAAAAAATAAATTGAAAATAATGACTAAAATCTTTTTTTCATTTAAGGTGCTGTTTTTGAAGAGGTCAAATTTGAAAATTTATCAGTTATTATACTTAAATTTGTTTAATTATGGACTGAACAGGAGTAACTAATAGATAAAAGATTATTCTAATCTGCGAAAATAAATGAAAAATATAGAATAAAATTTTGGTAGTTAAGACAGCAAGAAAATAGAGTAGTTGAATATGTTTAAATAAAAATTAAATCGCCAAACACAATATAATATTTATCGAAACAGTTAATGTCGAGCCTTAAATATAATAATTCATAATTGATTAACTTCTGTTATCCTTATCTACTATGTATCTCTTATTATCCAAAAAATAGAAATAGGATATAGAGAAAATTATTCATATATTAATATTGTCTCTATTATTCGAATTTTTCAGTTATCCGAACGATCCTATCTCTCGACGTGTGACAGATAAACACAGTTCTTGATAAAATTTTCAAATTTTGAATTTTTTCAAAAATAAAGCATTCTATGAAAAAATTGTATTTTACGTAAATTACTTATTTTCGCATGTAGAATAATGTCCTATTCTTGATCAGTCTAGAATTAGTTAAATTTAAGTCTGGTTAATAAATCTTCAAACTTGATTTTCTTTTTTTTCTTGTATGTAGAGTCATCCCTTTTTCGTTCTCAATATTAGGACACTCTGTACATCTATTTAATGAAATATATTAAAGAAAGTTGGCTCAACTAGATTTAAATTTAATTCTAGATTTAATGGTAAATTTACCAAACAATAATTTTAAAAAACGGTTGCACTTATTTATATTGCTTAATTATTTTATCGAAATTAAATGAATAGTAATATTTTTATTTGTATGAATAATACCCCTGAACATATAAATAAATATCTCAAAAAAATTTCTGACTGATATAAATATATATATAATGTAGCTATATAATTGTTGCTTACTTGCTAATGTTTAAAACATGTAAGGAAATAAAATCATGATCGTGAGAATCAGAAACGGAATGAGAGAATAAGAAAAAGAATGATTGCGTAACGTATAAAAAATTTCAATTGTTTCTTTTATTTTTAATAACAACGAGCTTTGCAAATATGAATTAAATAATTGGCCCTCTCTTTTTCTTCAAGTTCATGTATGAAATCTGGAAAGTGATGTACGCGTTTGAGTTCATGATCAATCTTTCTATCGATTATGAAGTGCAACAGCTGCTACTACACAGGTGTGGCTCATTTGAATATTATGTGAAGCAGCTGGTTCACATCTTCTCGAATTGTATTGTCCTTTGTTCCACGCCAATATATAGCCCTTCACGTGTCACGTATACTTATTTCTTTCCTTTCTATCCTTGAAATTAGATATTAAAAGATTATCAACTGCAAGGAAATGAATGATTGAACTCATAAAAATGTATTGAGAATAGTGATGTTTCGTGCACTAGATACAATTGTATCGTGGTTATGTTGAAACTACTATGAAACTACTATAAACAGAGTTACGACCGAAGAGAAGGAGTAAAGTAAAAGTAGTAAAAAGTTCTTACAAAGCAGTAAACGAAACTTATATACTATCAGTCACGAAATAGCTTCGAGTTGCAGAAATCGTAACCGCAAACATTTTGTCTTCTCGCACCGAAAAATGCGAAAAGTACTTAGAATGCAAAATATTGGCAAATAAAAATGCTTTCGTCGCTTCGCTGATTTGCAAATTACAATGGAACGATTGTTTGCATTTTGTTGGATAATTTTCACGACTCGGAACTTCAGGCGGATAGCAAAGAAGCAAAGATCTGTTGTATTTAATTTCGAACAGGTTCGACCGAATTACCTAATAATTTTACATCGTCGAGTCAGTGTGATATTAGATGAAACTTATTGGCATTGATGGGCATATTGTTACATGTGTAATAGGATCCTTTCGAAGTTACTACCGTGAATAACTTGCCGAGTGCTATATTCCGCGGTCGACGCGACATTGTTCGTTTCATAGTTTCATTTCTAACCACCGCGCATTATCCGAGGATAATGATGTACGTGACGAGATTATAAAAAGGATAGCAATTGCGTTGCTCGTTGCAATCGCGTTAAATCACACCGTGATACTTAATTCAGCGACTCGAAACGAGATTGTATGAGAAACGAATTTATGTACGCATGTGAAAAAAAAAAATATTATACATATACAGGGTGTGTGGCACGTAACTGTCGCCACGATTTTTCAGGTACTTCTGATTGTGTGACAAAAAATTTTTTGAACAAAAACTAATCAGTTTTTGGTTGGCTACAAAGCACAATATAAAAAATTCAAAAAAACTTTTTTTTCGATAAAACAAATCAAGGTCACATTGATTTTTTTAAATGGCACCGTATATTTTTGACTTCGCAGGATTATTGCTTATTATACGACCTACTAAACTATGACCTTCAGATGTCATTAACTTCAGAAATTTAATCAACAGAAACGTTAATGTCGAAACTTATTTTGTTTCAATCATATACTCTTGCACACTTTTCAATATCATAAAACATTTTTGGACACCGGTGGCGTCTCTCTGGATATTTTATAGCGTACATATTTGCAGCTCTACGTGCATTTCTATCACATTTACCGAGCATATCTACCTTTTCACTATTAGAATACATGCTTAGTTTTGTACTGACAGATTAAGACTATCAAAATATCAGAATTGTCTTAGCAGAATGAACGATTGTAACTTGGTAGGGTGAAAGTCATGTTGATATTACTGTTATGAAAAAAACTTGTACTGTTTCAGACCGTTAAACAGACAAAAGTATCCAAATAATGTGTAATTAACCGTCACAGATACCATTTCTGGTTCAGAGTTGATCCTCACTGGTTCAGAGAACATTTTCATGAAAAATTTACAATGAACAATTTCTATTGATTAAACCTAAATTTCTGAAGTCAGAGACATCTGAAGGTCATAGCATAGTAGCTCGTTTTTTTCAGAAGCAACAATCCTGCGAAGTCAAAAATACACGGTGCCATTTAAAAAAATCAATGTGACCTTGATTTTTTATCGAAAAAAAAGTTTTTGGAATTTTTTATATTGTACTTTGTAGCCAACTAGAAACCGATTAATTAATTTTTGTTTGAAACATTTTTTGCCACACAATCAGAAGTGCCTGAGAAATCATGGCGACAATTACGTGTCACATCCTGTATAAATGCAATATCGTTAATAGCGTAATAGTTGCAGTAGGTAATTTAAAGGTAATTAGCACATGTAATTTTTATCATTCGTAGTATGACAGATGTCTATTTATTTTTTTCAAAATTCGAACCTCGAACGAAACACAAAATTTCTATGTGAATGTCAAGCGGATGCTAATCCTTTCATTACTATATTGTATAGTGTACTGAGATATTTCGCTTTTGTGATGCCACAGACGAGATATCTCGCGTCGAAATAATGTTTGTTTCTCTATATAGAAGGAGACATCTTTAACATTTAAGTAGGATTAAGTAGACGAGGATTATTGATTTTAGCTTATTTTCAATAAAAATTAAAACAAAACTCGTCGGCAGCATTGCAACGATTGTGACGAAATATGTACGTTTTCTTATTTCTTGTGAAGAACGATGAAAGTTAAATTAATTTAATGTAATCATTGGTGTTAATTCAAGATAGTATGAAACGACGGGATAAAAAGTATGCGATAAACTATTTGTTCGCAGGATCGAGCAAGGAATGTTTCCGAAAGATTCACATCTACAACCACTTTGACGGTGAATATTAGAGACGACGATGATCAAGATCCTTCCTTCATTTACCAAGGTTGCATGCTTTTGGATGGCGCATGTATCAATCCAGAATATTCAGCGTCCGTAAGTACATTTATTTTACGAGAGGAAAAGATTCTAGCTTTCTACGTTAATCTGAAGTCTAGGAACTGATAATTTATCTTACGGTTGGTTTGGCATAATCTATAACTATACGATAGTGCGATAATAAGCAAACAAAATAAGATTTATATTTATTGACAAAACAAAAATAATTTATTAACAGCAAAATATAAAAATAATAAATATAATAAATGCAATATTTATTAATAAATATTGCATAACATTATAATAACATTATGAAATGTATATAAACATATAACATTCATAATAATATTATGAAATTGCGTCATTAATTCTTCATATATCTCTTTTTATCGTCTAATATATATATTTACTATCTATGTACGAGACAGAGTAGAAATTTTTTGATTTGTTTCGATTTATTATATTATATTCAAAAATATTTGAGTCATTAATTCGGCACAGTTGTTGAAAGGACAAGCATAGCGAATTATATAAAAGTTCAAAAGTCTACAGAATATATCGTAAGTAATATACAAAATATATCGTAAAAAATAATAAATATAATAAATGCAATATTTATTAATAAATATTGCATAACATTATAGTAACATTATGAAGTGTATAAGAACATATAACATTCATAATAACATTATGAAATTGCGTCATTAATTCTTCATATATTTCTTTTTATCGTCTAATATATATATTTACTATCTATGTACGAGACAGAGTAGAAATTTTTTGATTTGTTTCGATTTATTATATTATATTCAAAAATATTTGAGTCATTAATTCGGCACAGTTGTTGAAAGGACAAGCATAGCGAATTATATAAAAGTTCAAAAGTCTACAGAATATATCGTAAGTAATATACAAAATATATCGTAAAAAATAATAAATATAATAAATGCAATATTTATTAATAAATACAATATTTATTAATAAATATTGCATAACATTATAATAATATTATGTAATAGATAATAACATTCATATAACATTCATAATAACATTATGAAATTGCGTCATTAATTCTTCATATATCTCTTTTTATCGTCTAATATACATATTTACTATCTATGTACGAGACAGGGTAGAAATTTTTTGATTTATTTCGATTTATTATATTATATTCAAAAATATTTGAGTCATTAATTCGGCATAGTTGTTGAAAGGACAAGCATAGCGAATTATATAAAAGTTCAAAAGTCTACAGAATATATCGTAAGTAATATACAAAATATATCGTAAAAAATAATAAATATAATAAATGCAATATTTATTAATAAATACAATATTTATTAATAAATATTGCATAACATTATAATAATATTATGTAATAGATAATAACATTCATATAACATTCATAATAACATTATGAAATTGCGTCATTAATTCTTCATATATCTCTTTTTATCGTCTAATATACATATTTACTATCTATGTACGAGACAGAGTAGAAATTTTTTGATTTGTTTCGATTTATTATATTATATTCAAAAATATTTGAGTCATTAATTTGGCATAGTTGTTGAAAGGACAAGCATAGTGAATTATATAAAAGTTCAAAAGTCTACAGAATATATCGTAAGTTGAATATAAATGTTACGCTAAATATCTGATACGTTCTCTTGCGTTTCATTTGTCTAAAACTGTGATAATCGAATAAATCCATTGCAAGTAAAATTACAAACAAAAGTACACGTAATACTATAGAGTGGCCACCGAAATACAGGTCACCGAAAGACTGAATGATATAAAACAAAAATAACTTTTACCAGCACGTGTTTTTTTAATTTTTTATTATTTTATTTGAAAATATAATTAATGGATATTTTTCAGTATTACGCGTGAGTTTTTAATAGATTAAAATTTTCATTAATTGAAATTTTCTTTTTATGAATTTTTCAAACCTTTCAGTCTTTCAGTGGCCACCCTATACAAGTTGGAAGATTTCTTGTATAAATAGTCAAGCTACTTTGATACGACTGTCTTTAAAACATTGTTGGCTTTAGAAACCGAACATTGGCAAACGAACGTAATTTCTGATGGTGGCATGTACATGTATATGGTTCGATACACGCGTTATCGTGCATTGTAAAGTGAAAGACGACGTCCAATCCTCGATTCTTAATACGCGACCACGATTTCTTTACTCTGAAATCTCATGTGACACGGTTCGAAACTATCGGCGAACCGGTTCTGTACATTATGTCTTTTCTCCCATCAGGTTTCGAGCGGAGTGTTATCCGGGATACTTAATATATCGCCGGAGAAAATACAAGCCGTTGATATGGACAGCATAAACGCACCTATTCATTATTCGTTCCTCAGTGGCAATCCATCGAATTATCGGGAATTTTTCGAAATAAACCCCAACACTGGCGCCGTGAAGCAAATTAAGGCGGTCGACACAACTGTTACCAAGAAGTTCGATATTATCATCAAAGTAAGAGTGATAACGTTGATATTTCTGTACCAACGTAATGTAATACAAGCAAATTTCAAAATTAAAAGAAACAAAAACTATGTGAACGTATAATAAAGTTATTCGTTTATTTATTAAGGCCGTTGAAGTGTCAGAAGCGAAACGATCGGCCACAGCCAAATTGACCATCACTGTAAAGCCAGTCGACAGCAATCCTCCGATTATAGCAACATCGAGCGTAGAGGGTTTCGTCGATGAAAATGCCCCGATTGGAACAAAGGTTATTGACAAAAACGGCAATCCTGTGGTACTCACTGTTTCGGACGCTGATTTGGTAAGTTGAATTTTTGTAATTGATTTGGACCCTGTTCAACGAGTTGATTGATTTTTTTTTTTTTTTTTAATTTCTTGCGCCTTTCTCTTTTTAATAACTCAATACGTCTGTATCCATACGTCTAAATCAATTTTTTAAAAAAGAGTAGGAAAAAATCAGTAGAAGTTAATAGCAAAGATAAATGTCTGTATCGTTTCTTTTCTAACTGCATATCATCTCTTCGACCAACCAAATTAATACATCTTTGATAAACGATATCGTATAATGAATCTGTTTACAAGTTCAAAAATTTTCAATACCCGAAAATAGATTAGCACACGTTTGCTGTATTTTTATTTCGGCCACACGATGCAAATTATCCAGCTGAAATTCTACCGAATTTTGTTAACACTTAGCCGCATTTTTCGCAACGCGATACTATTTATTTGAAATAAAAGAAATCTGAAAATTATTTAAGTGGTCAATTTTATTTAAGGTAACTGTGATACGCAACCAAAAGGATTGGGGTTTCTATATATGAAAGAGTGGACCAGTAATCATATATATCATCTTTACGTACTTGTCACATCAGGATAATTAAACCTAGAAACTTTTTCATTTCTCCCAACTGTGACATCAACCCATTGCACTGCTCTATATACTTTATGTTTGTTTACAACTTGAGAGCGATATCTATTTGTTTCTATTACTAATAATTCAAATAAATCATCGCCAAGAAACAATTGTACTATTTCCCATACGTTTTCCTGATTTCGAGGTATCGTATTCACGCCTGAAGTTCGATCATATGCTTCTAGCTGAAGTGTCATGTCATTCTCGGACCAATCATCGACAGTATTGACGGTAATGTCTTCATCCTTGTCAGAGAGGGAACTAACATTATCTTCCGATTCGCTAAAAAGTATTCGACGATTACTTTGACGTGTGGGAACAATGATACTATCATTGTCGTTAAATTCATCATCACTTATCTGCATATCGTTGTCTTCAGAACAGTCTGATAGTGCGTCCATGGACAATTCATCATTTAAATTTTCATTGCTGCTTCTAGACATTTTTAACAGTATTTTTTTTAACTTTATTTTTTTTACTAATTATATATTGTGCTTTATAGAAACAGTTCGTAAGTAATTGCGAACAATTTCAGATAGAGTAACTGATAATAACAGAAAAAGAGAAACGCGTCGCTAAAGTCAAAGTGGGAGATCTTCCCGATCGGTCGGCTAAGTGTTAAGTGCAATATCGCTGCAGCTAATAGTTATTGATTTACACGTGCAAAGTTGTTTATTTGTTTGCGATGTGACACGCCTCCTTTTCGTTTAACGAAATGGGTTGCTACGTCCAATATAGTATTGTAACTTTATTAAAAATTGTCCAAAACAATACATATCAAAAATATAAAAATTTTTAACATTTTCTTTTCGTCTCTATTATTTTTATAAATGTTTCACAAAATGGTATTGACGTTTAATCTTGTTGAAATGTCAATAATAAGTAAGTTTTAAATCGTTTGTACGCATGAAAAAAACCTTTCCAATATCTTTTCCTTGATATTTGCAAGTTGCAGACGCACAGACGTAAATAGCTTCCATATTTCGATTCTAATATTTCGAAATTCATTATTCATAGGTATTGTTGCATACGCGGAACGTATTGAATATCGTTAATTAATGATGAGTAAATGCACGATGAGTAATACGGATTTACATTTGGATACTGTTTTATCGATGCGTATAAACAATTGTACTTTCTATTGTAGACTCTGTAAATTAAGTGTATAGCTATATGCTTGATTTTGAAAATAATTGCTATGCAATTTCTAAAGAAATACAGCGTCAGTAAATGATAATAAAAAAAAAAAATTATACTTAATTTTATTCATCATTATATATTGATCTTCATTATAGAAATTAATTATATCTTTATCTATCATAGAAGTGAATAAATAATATTCCTATGTCGTATGAACTGTGCGTTTAGGGCCCTGAAGATCCAAAACCAGCCTACACATTTGAATTGACTACCAATTTCTTCGCGATCGATTCTTCCGGAATATTGGTCGTAAACGAAGAAAATCTGGATCGTGATCCTCCGAGTCCCGGACGTTTCCGATTTCAAGTGGTCGCCAGAGAAAAAACGGGCATCGCTGCTTCCGCGCCGTTGTCCTTCGTGGTGATACTGAACGACGTTAACGATAATGCACCGATGCTTCCCATGATAACTCCCATTACCGTTCAAGCTGGAGAAACAAAGAAAGTAGTGACAAAGGTGGGTTTAATATTTATGGATTATTTATTATCAATCGTACGATACTAGTAGCGAATTTACAATATCAGCTGTGAATTTGCGATATTTGTAGAAACAAATTTTTATCTTTCACACTTGAAAAGAGAAAATAAAGTGAAAATTTTATCTTCGCGATTTTACATGGTTTTTCACACTTGGTTTTCACAATTTCACCGATGTTGAACCCAGGTCGAGGCAACGGACAACGACGAAGGAGAAAATGCTGAAATAACATATAGCATTTATCACGTGTCGAATAACGGGCTGCACAAATTTAAAATCGACCCGAAGACCGGCGTAATCGAGTCCGTGAGGAAGCTGAACGCGGGCGAACAATTCAGCATTACTGTCCAAGCAACTGACAAAGGTGGAAAATATTCGCAGACGATCGTCGAGGTGAACGTGATTCCTGGACCCAATACTAGGAGCCCGGTCTTCCAACAACCGGTATACGAAGTGCAAGTCAGCGAGGGAGCATCAATTAATTCGACGGTTGCAACGATTACCGTAAGTGTTCGTAATTACAATTTCACGTTCAAGTTTTGCGCTAACTCGTAAATATTATCGAGAGAGAGAGAGAGAGAGAGAGAGAGAGAGAGAGAGAGAGAAAGAAAGTTTAACACTAGGTTTACGGGCGTTTCTTATATACCTATTTCTACGAGAACCCGTCAATTTGACGGGTAAACAAAAATACGCATTTTAAAAAGTAAAAAATATGGTCCAATTCAATTACCCTATTGTAGATACTTACAATAAACGGAGACTGTCTACAATAACTTTCTACAGTAATAATAACTATAGAAACTTTTGCACACTGTGTTTGAAACACGTCCTTACATTGGCAGTGCAACGATCATACTGAAGATCGTTTCTAATTTTAGGGATTCCGGCAATAGCATACGCAATTTCGTTCAATGTGTTGAAAACGAAAGTAAACACGCAGGCATATAATCCGCTTGTTTACATTCTTGCGACGCGATCGAGATAAGGGATTGGATTGAATGATTTTACGAACAATGCAAATATATAAGGATTATGAAATTAGCTAGTCCGTCAATTTGACGGATTTCGTAGAGATAGGTATACTACATACAGATTTTAAAAATTAGAAGGCTTAGAAAAAAAAAATTGTGTGTATAAATTCTTTGGTGAAATGATTAATTTACGATACAAAGTTAAAATTAATGCTATAGTTTTTTGGGTATTTCTTTTCAAAATTTGAAATCCGTCAAATTGACGGGTCCCGTAAACCTAGTGTTAAATCGAAGGATAATCGTAATATTGTAGTGACGATTTTATCGATAAAAATAGTAAATAGAATTGGTGATTGTATGATAAATAAACAGGAAATGTTGTCGTTCTTCTTTCATTAATTTACTAATATTTATTTTTGCGCTTGACAGTATGATAATATTATGTTTATTTGATTCTTTAACAACTTCGCGCAATTAAATGTTACATTACATGTTATTTCAAAGGTTAAATTTCAATAGTTATTTTAGTAAATGTGTTTCGATAAAAGTATTTAAAGTATTAAAAAAATAATTATTAATTAATAATTATATATATTAATTAATTAATTAATATGTACGAAGACTGTGCTACAAACGACTCAACTTGCGACTTCAAAAATTTAAAGATACAAATTTTGATATCTGATAGATTCATGTTGAACGTTCTGTCGCTACAAATTCTGATGAGATTAAGATATTAATTTATGGTAACCGTTATCTAACAATATGGGAGATTAAGTCAGGTATAAAAAAATATCTGCCATAATTATTTCAAGATATATTCAACAATTAAATAACGGGACGAATTTCTTTACGTTACAACCCAATACTTTTGTTTTCTTTTCTTTTTCTTCTTTTTGTTTAAAAAACGAACATATAATTTTATTTAACAGGCAGTTGACCCAGAAAACGATCCAGTATCGTACTCGATCGTCTCGGGAAACGACCTGCGTCAATTTGCGATCGGTGACAAATCAGGCGTGATCACCGTTATAAGAAAGTTGGACAGAGAAGATCTGACTCGTTATCAGCTAGTAAGTTTATGTTTGTATATTGTTTAAGCACACCTCTGTCTCCTTGTCTGCTACAAAAAAAAAAAAGGATTATCTTTAATTAAACTCGCGTGTCATTTTACATAGGCTTGTCTGATTGAGATCTTTTTTTTTTCGCGATAATAAAGTTAATAAAGGCCGAGGATTCCGGAGGTTTGTTCAACACGGCCACGGTAAACATCAAAGTAACAGACATAAACGACAAAAACCCAGAATTCGTCAACTTACCTTACGAGTTCACCGTAAAAGAAGGAGAAGCCAGGAAGTTGATCGGTCGAGTACACGCTGAAGACGCCGATGAAGGCGTCAACGCGGAAATCACATATTTTGCGCCTGACGATATACCTTTCACCGTGGATCCCGAAACTGGAGATGTGTTGACGAAAATCGTTTTGGACTACGAGCAAAATGATGTGAGTGTTTTCTTTTAATTTTTACATTATTAACCCTTTGACTACGGCAGACTTTGAGACGTACGTACGAATTCAGTCGCGACCTACACCGAAAACGGCGAAATTGTTCGTTAGGCGTGCATTTCTGAGAAAGTATATTGAAATAATCAAAACACTGAATTCCACTACATTAAATACAATATTATTTATTTATTCGTATTCTGCGTTGAATTTTCAGTGCACATGCTAAAAATTTAACATTAACATTAAGGTTTCTATAACAATCGTCAAGGAGATTTATAAATAATCGTTAGGGATATATATATAACAGTCACTAAGGAGATAAACGCACAGTCGTTTTCAAGTAATTAAAGAAGCGAGTTTGATCATAGAGATTAGTTAAGTTAATTCGTTGTAACTTACGTTGTATAAAAATATATATTTTGTTGCATACATCTTATTTAACATACGTTCTAAAAATAAAGTACGTAGTTATTGGTGTTTGTACCAAGTTATCAAAACAATTACATCGTATCTACAAAATATGAATATACACAACATGAATCATTTGTTGTATCATGTTTGCATGTACATTTTCTGACCATTTTATTATCCCAATTTTTCATTTTAAGGGTATAAAGAAAAAATAACTGTAAAATAAACATATTTAAATAATATGTGACTAACGAAATATATAATTGAATTAGCATTCACTTACGTTTGGTTCAAATGAGATTTGCTGGAATTGTGGTTGATAAAATTTTCCAGGCGCCTATAGTGGTCAAAGGGTTAATAATATTAAAAATTTCAAGAACTCGTCGATTGTGAAGTACGTGGGGTATAATAAGAACACATATCTGAAACTTAGTTACCAGGAAATTAAAATGCTTTCTCGTTCAGGAATATAAATTTGTGGTAACCGCAAGAGATGGTGCTCCTGATTACCGTTTAGCCACTGCTACGGTGACGGTGAAAGTCATAGATATCGAAGACGAGGTTCCTATTTTCCATCAAAGTAGCTATGAGGCTCGAATTAAAGAGAATGTACCAGATTACACGGTGCTTCAAGTGACAGTGAGTTAAAATTATTCGATGCAATAAGAAAGTTTAAATGACACGATTTGTTATCGAAATGATTTGTTAATCTGCCGTGTTATAATATAATTTTAATATATATTAATATACATTAATTATATATATATATAATATAATAGCATAATGTAGTAATAAAAGAAAAATAATTTTTCAAAAATAAAAGATAAAAAAAAAGATTTGTTATCGAAACTAATGATTTGTTAATCCGCCGTATTGTAATATAATTTTAATATATATTAATATATATTAATTATATATATAATATAATAGCATAATGTAGTAACAAAAGAAAAATAATTTTTCAAAAATAAAAGATAAAAAAGAAAGAAAAGATAAAAGAAACATAATTTTTCAAAAAACATTTTAAATTACTCATGACTTTTAATCACATTTGGATGAATAAATTATATTTTGCGTTGATTCTTTATATCATTATATTGTTGGAATCTATAGAATCTCAACTTCTTTTGTGCGATTAATTCCAGGCTGATGATCCGGATACAAAGAAACAAATCACATATATAATCAAACAAGGAGATACTGAAATGTTCCGCATAGACCCAAAGACTGGGATAATAAAAACCATTCGCGGTTTGGACTATGAAAAGGAGAATCAGTATATTCTCATAATTGGCACCGTTGAAAACACTAGCAATTTGCTTGGTTCTACTACGAAAGTTGTGATTAACGTTCAGGTATTGATCGTTGCAATTCTCCTTTGACTGAGAAATCTTTATTATTTCACAAATACAAACTACATAGATTTCTTCTTATACACTATTATTCAGAGATCAATAGTAACTTCTTATTATATTTTCAACGACAATAAGAGAAAAAAAGATTGGCAAGAAACGGAGAGAGCATAATCAAGAATGAAATTGTCCATAATTTAAACTGTTATAATTTTGTAAAAAAAAAAAAAAAATCATATAACAATCCATTTTAAAGCTTCTAGTCGAGTCTTCGGTTCGTTTGTTTCAAAAATGATTTTATATAATGTAGCGGATGGGAAAGTAAGAATACTGTTTTCTCTATACGCAACATATTTTTTTACTTTAGTTTTCTGTATGTATAAAACTTTTTAATTTGTTTCAAGACCATATGTTTTTAAAATGAAAAACTGTTATCTTGCCATACTGTAATTCAGCTGCTCATGTCAAGTCTGAGCAATAATTTTACCAAACATGCTTATGTTTATGCCTCTTCGTGTTGTACAATATCAAGTAGTTATATTTTAATATCGCAGATCAGTTGTTATATTTTTTTGTTATTCCTTATGCACTAGGACGTTAACGACATTCCACCAGTATTTACATCAGTTCCTCGTCCGATTACGTTTGATGATGAGATTTCCATTGGCTCAACGATCATTAATCTTAGAGCAACAGACTCTGATGGCACTGCTCCCGGAAATCAAGTATGTAATTAGCTAATCTTTAAATAGTAGATTGACGACAACTTAGTAATACTTTTTATTTATATAAATTTATAAATAAGAATAAGTAATATAAATACGAAATAAGTTATGAAATAAATTTTTTTTTAATCAAATTAAATACAGAATTTTCATAAATGCATGTTTATACTTTGGATGATGAACCCATACAGTAAAATAAATAAAAAATGTTAATTATACGAATTATCTTACATAACTAGTTTTCGAATTATAAATCTTTGAAATGTTCTGTTCATCTTGTGCTTCAGTACATGCTATTGCACGTCGTACAAAATCTTGTCTAATATTTATAAAAAATACCCATCGATATGAATTAAACAAAACTCAATCCATTAAAATTTGATTTCCGATGCAATTTAAAATTGATTGTGTGTTGAATTGAACTGAATAATTTGCACGATTTACGAGAAAAAATTCAGAATAGATGTCACACTGTTCAAAAAATATTTTCAAACGACTGCGCAATTCAGTGCTAAGGTATGCAATAGCATCATGCTGAAGATACAACTGAATATCTTTTTTCAATTATTTAAAACTTGAAAACTAAAGTGTGTAAAATATATTTATGATATTTTTTATGTATTTTAATGCATAACTTCATCTCTTAAAATATGGATATGCATTTAAGAATCACCCTGTACATACATACGTGTACAATTTCCTTCTTTTTAAAGTAATTTCATTATTATACAAAAAAAAAAAAAAAAAAAAAAAAAAGAAAAGAAATTGCAATTATTTTGCTTGCTGATGATGCTCGGCAAATGATAAGTGATTGTTCAAATGCAAGTCGATTATTACTGTTTGTTGGTTTATAGGTGAGATATGAAATTATCGGCCGTGGACTAGCGAACAAATACTTTATGATTGATCCAGACACTGGCGTACTTAGAATACGAGATGATTTGCGTAAAGAAACGGATACCGAGTTTCAGGTATATACATACATATGTTTTAAATGTTAGAATTCCAATCGTTTTTATCACATCGTTTCTTCGAAGAATATTGAACGTCTATCGTAAAATGAAAAAGACAAGGCATAAACTATTGAGTATTCATTGAGAAATTATTAATGTTTCAGGTTGATGTGCGCGCGTATGACATGGGAGAACCGCAATTATCGTCTGTCACAACAGTACCAATTTATGTTCGTCACATGATGACCACAATGCTGTCAGAGATCGGTTTAGGTTTTGCAGAAAGTTCCTACAATGTCGAAGTACCGGAAGATGCTGGCGACAATACGCTAATCAAAATAATCACGGTTATTAATAGTCACGCGCACGATACCACGCCGTTAAAATGCGAGATTTATAGCGGTAATAAGAACGAATTGTTTGAAGCGAATATTACGGAGGAACGGAATTGCGCGCTTAGACTCGAGAAAGGAGCATTGGATTACGAAACAACGGAATCGTATCAAGTGCAGCTTAAATTGGAATCTTTATCAGGTCTGTTAAATTCCGGCAGAAATACGACGATGGTACGTATATACAATAGCGATCAAAAGTTAAAATTCTTTTTTTACAGATGTACTGACTGTTTTTTTACAGAACTGTTGTATAACTTCCTGAAAAGGAAACGTATCTAGTTAGGCTCGTTACAAAGTGTGAAGCTTATATTTTGATAGTGCTGAATTCATTTTTTTTTTATAATGAATAGGAAAAATAGTGAAAACGAGGATTTTTTTCTTAGGATTAATATTGGGGGTTAAATACGATAAAAATTCAAGAAATCTTAACATTTCGTGTAGCTCTGAAAAAATTTTTCCAGTAGGGATTTTTTTAGAAACGTTTGAATTTTTATTTCCACGCCCATTATATAATATAAAAATCGTTCTTTGAAAACATTATCAAAGTTTAGACTTCGCGCTTTAAAATGATTGTTGTATGTCCTTTTTTCAAAAAATTCCAAAAGTTTGAAATCTCATCAAGAAGGCAGTCGTTTTTAATTTTTCGTTGCTACTAACGTTGATTCTAAACCAACAACATGTGAATAACGAAGGAAAAATTAATTTTAGAAAGCATCTACATAATATAAATGTAACACAGTATAATAACTTTATTAGTACATATAGTAGCATTGTGCAATTAGTGATTAGAATATTTTACAAAGAGAAAATACCAAAAAAAAAAATATACAGTATATAGTCAAAAAAATACTTTAAATCTAAAGATGATAAATGTCATTAGTTTCAAAACATAAAATATTCAATCATATCATACGTACGCTGGATCTACAGTCTGTTTTTAAATTACAGGTGAAAATCCAAGTGCTCGACATAAACGACAATAAACCCGAATTCATTTTTCCGGATAGTAGTCCAAAATTATCAAGAGGACGTTATTTCGCCGCGATCCCGCGATCAGCGCAATTTGCGTCGACGGTTATACAAGTGAAAGCACACGATAAGGATAACGGAAAGTATGGGAAGCTCGAGTATAAAATACTTGGCGGACGAGGATCGAACTATTTTGCCTTGGACAGTTTTTCTGGAATAATCAGAACCACCGCGACGTTCGATAACGTGGATTTAACCGAACTTCCATTTAAGTTCGACGTTCGAGTTCGAGACAATCCTAATTCGACTGACAATTTTAACTCAATCGTAGCTCCGGTTATAGTGAATTTAATCGGAGAGGAGAATCTAATGATTTTGGTAGTACAGGACGCGCCACCGGACGTTTTACAAAAGGAGGCATCCAAGATTGGCGATATCATCGAAGAAAAAAGCGGTCTTCTGATCGGTATCGATAGAGTAGCTGTGAGGAAGAATTTGACAAAGAATGGAACTATCGAAATGTATCCTCAAGATTCCGATGTGTGGTTCTACGCGATTGATCCAGACACAGAATCTATTTTAGATAGAAATAATTCCCGTATACAAAGGTAAGTGATTTGTGCTTGATCATATTATTTCAATGCGAAAGTTGAAAGAATTTTAAACGAATGAAAATTATTAACTAAACTTTTTAATTTGGAATACAACTTTTTCAATTTTCTTTTAATAATAAATCAAAGTATTTATTATCGCTGTACAATAACAGAAATATTAATTATGAAAAGTACTTGAATAACTACAATTTTTTCCATCGATATTCATGACAAGATGAAAAAATACAACAAACAATATTATTTTTACTCGCTTTCGACAAAAAGTTCATAGTCATGGTGCATACGTAATAATTTTATGTGGCTATACACGTGTTTAGATACACAGATAATCGTGAAGCAACGATTCGTGTACGACATTGTTGCTTTGAGACTTTTATATTTTCCCCAAATTCGAAAGCAAACCAAATTCTGAGATATATGGTTCAATTGCAGATCGATAGTCGAAAAGATGGCTATGTCAAACATTACCTTCGACGTGTCCACGTTGGTTCGAGCGAATGCGATAGACATTCACGCGCCAGTAATGCCGTCCGAGCCAGTACGCACGCAAACCGCTATCGCTTTTAGTGGCGAAGTATTTCCGTACGCCTTGATAATCATCGCGTGTGTCATACTAATCCTAGGTATAGCTGGAATTATCTATATTTGCATCTCCTGGTCGAGGTAAGTTGCCTGTTTTCGTTTTAAAACGATATGATTCTATTGTTGAGCTGAACTTCCTCCCTTTTTTCTTAATCTACCAATCATCTTAACCACTTGCGCTGGCTACTGATTGCGGACCATAACGAGTGACTAAACCGTATAATAATTCGTCGCTTTCTTTTTGAACTTGTCGATGTGGTATCACTGGATAAAAATTATTGAAAAGTAATAAATTTATTATTTGTTTCGCCTGGATTATACTTAAATATACTTAAAACTGGGAAAATATTGCAATTTTGGGATAAAAGATTCTCGACGTGCAAGAGGTTAACCACTTGCACTGACAACTGTTTGCGGACCATAACGAGTGACCAAAACGTATACAATAATTCGTCGTTTTCTTTTTGAACTACTCGTCGGTATGATATCACTGGATAGAAATTATCGAGAAGTAATAAATTTATTATTTATTTTGCCTGGATTATACTTAAATATACTTAAAACTGAGAAAATATTGCAATTTTGGGATAAAAGATTCTCAACGTGCGTGGTACGTCATTCTCCAGCGCAAGAGGTTAACAGAAAAAAGAACATTGAATATTCAACTGATGATGTAACGAAACATATGTTTTGATGGTTTGCTTTAAAAAAAGTTGCATTTTTGATAGTTCGGACACGCCAATTTTTAAGCGTAATTGTTGTGATAATAACGTTGTTAATGCGTTAGGTAATATCGTGTGAAACATTTTCAAGTGTCGGAATGAGTATTTATTCGAGCGTCGAGTTTTGCATGCCGTGCAAACTCGTCGTTCTCTTTATTACACCCATTAGAATTAATTATGTTTTCCGGTGTGGTTGCCTCTTGAAATATTTAACATCGCCAAGCTGCGATGCGTACATTGGATGGAATCGTTGATTCAGTTTTTATATAGCGTTGCAGCTCGAACATCGTGAATGTTATTCGCTATGTAAATAATATTCTGTTTTCTTCTTTGCACAGGTACAAGGCTTACAAAGAACGGATGCAACGAATGTACGTCGTGCCTCGTTACGATCCCGTCTACGTAGAACCAAATTTGAAAGAATACGAAACACAAGTGCTTCAAATGAGCGTGCCTGTCGACGACAATGACAGTTATAATGATCTTCAGCTCGATTTCAGCAACAAGAATCATGCGTTCAGTCTGGACAATGTTAGCTATATTACCAAAGATCACGGAGAAAGTACTGGTAATTCATATATTTTATTATAATTACACTGGTGTGAATAATTATAAGTTTATCAAATAGATCTCCATCTGATTTTTATTAAGAAATGATATTTTCAAATATTTAACATATTTGTGCCTGTTTTGCTTAGAAATCCACAATTGCATTTGGAAGTATAATTGAAAATTAAACATTATTTACGACGATAAAAATCCTTTTCGCGAAATTTTGGTTCTCTCAACATTGTTCAGTCGGAAATATTGAAAGAATATCAGATCGTAAATTTCTTCTTTTTTTTGTGTGTAAACATTTTTGGTTATGTTTGCAATTTCCCACTGCGACATTACGTTGCAAATGCAACCTCTGCCGCTGCTCTATTTCTGAAAATTCTCATATTATTATAATGATATAATATAATATTATATAATTATTCTAGCATTATTTATGATTGATATAATAAAAATAAACTTTTGAACTGAATCGAGACAATTAATGAGCCTATATTTATTCAGAACTGAATAGAATGATTTTATAGTAAATAATCAATTACTTTCTACGGATAATATTGGAAAAAGTATGAAAAATATGAAAAATAATGTACAAGATTGAATTATTTTGTTGTAAGACCCATCTTTTACAATAAAAAGTTCTGTTTCGTTTTAAACGGATAAGGTAAAGAAACAAGGTTAAAGATAAGAGTATATGCAGTAAAATAGTATATTGTACCAAGTAATTTTATGCTTTAAAAAGATCGACTTTACGTAAAACTATTTCATTCTTACCATTTGTTTTATCTCTATAAATGTTTCAAAATCGAGTTTCAAACAGTAGAATATTGAATTTTATAGCGGTAATCAAATCTCGATTCTTAACATCGCTTACAATCTTCTTTAACCAACGTCGATTACTTTACGTCGGTTGAAATAAAGTTTGAAGATTGTTGAAATCTTGTTTTTCTGAAAAAATATGGTCTTGGAGAAAATATAATCGTGAAAGTTCCCGCGAGTTTATGCAAAAATAATCAGCACGTTTATTATGTGTTTAGGACAACAAAGCCCCGTAAGTTCTGAAGCAGCGACCACGGCACGTGCTTCCAGCATTGTTGGAACTCATGCAGATACGAACATTCACTCGTTACGACGATCGACCCTTGGCAGAAAGAACCATAACAACAGCAATGCAAACACGTTGAACAATCACGATCCGACGCCCGTATTGAATCCATTATACAACCACGGTAACGATTTACTCAGCCCTAGTCCGTCGAACGACAACGTCACGTTTAGAGAAAAAAGGGATTATTCTCATCTAGGATTCACGTACTTGGGTGAACAGAGCCCGGTAGAAACTACCACGGAGTTATAAAGAATGTTGCGCGTGAAACTAAAAAAATAAATTAATAAACGTAAGTTCGACTTTCGTTGGATTTCTTTCTCCGTAATATGTGTCGCGTGATAATGAGGATTCTTCTGTGCCTGGGCATGACTGAAATTTTTTTCATAATATCGAATTGTCAGCCGTGAAAGACAAATTATATTCGTTGTTACCAAAAGTGGAATGCTCGTAGATTGTCTTGCTCGCGCAAGACACTGTGCAACAACTGAATAGAACCGAAAGCAAATGTCAATGCATTTCGAAACAAGCACAAGAATTTATTCTGCGTGACGAACTCTCAATCGAATTTCTGCGATGAATAGAACGGCGAAGCCAGGTCGGGAATACTTATTATCAACGACGAGCGAAAACTGACGAACTTTTCTCTGCGAAAAGCTTTCAACGTTACCCATCGCGCATCGTGAGTAATTGCGATTTTGCGAAATCCGTGTCGATATAGCGCGACGCGACATGTCCAAAACTATTATTTTATTTCGACCATCGGCACTATCTAGCGTGTTGCATCACAATTGCCATCGATTTTGCAGCACAACGCGACTTTAATGTGATTTATGCCTTTCGTTTCGATGCAAATGTTCGAAAATTCTGCATTGTTCGATCGTGATATCGTCGAACGTGATCGTAATTGAAAAGCATTGTTAAGGAATCAAGGTATCGCTCAAATTTCTAATGTCTTCAAAGGTCTAATGTATAATATTCTCAGGGGTAGCGATAGTGAAAATTTCGCGCCCTAACGTTCAAGTTATATAAAATGTTTGTCTGTTGCGAATTTGTAAAGGCAACGAAGTATGCACTTTGAACAGCAAAATAAATTTGTCACTGAAATAATATTAAATTCGCATTTATAGATATTAGTAAAAGTTCTCGGAAATTTTTGCGCGTGGACACGAACGAATGCATAGATTGCTATCATCGTTATCGTTATAAATTTTATTTGGCGTTGATGTGAAAGATTATTTACATCGAATCTATGCTGTGCAATAATTCATTGTCTTCTGCGATAGTATTGACCAGTAGATTTCATTCTTCGCGCAGTACGTTTAATGAATTCTCATTTAGTACTCATAAAATAATACAAATTTTTATTCAACAAATCTGATGAAAATGCATAACAGTTATGAGTCATCGTACCGTTCAATATAGTAATAAGGATTAATTATAAAGCAATAAAATTGCTGAAAGACGTATGTGAACGAGTGATGAAACGTGTATATGTGATCGGTCCGTGAACTTAAATATATATATATATATATATACGTATGTGAGAGAGACTCGCGTAAAACTATTGTATGATAAGATCTTTTTATTTATAACTGCGTGTTTGCTTATATTATTTTATTATTTTTAACGATACTCGACCAATGGTAGATGTCGTTGCTACGTACTGTCACAGAACTACTATCATTGGTATGAAATTGTTCTTCGATTATTCATACATTATTTAACTTTCGATTATTTAACAAAGCGAATCACGATCATTCGTTGAGTACCAAATTAAAAAGAAGAGCAGTTTCGTACATCAATTTTTTTATAAAACAAATATCAACCGGGAATCACTTTTAAAGTACGGAATCTTTTCCAGGTGTTTGCGAAATAGAGATAATTACATTATGAATTATGTGAAATGCATTTAAACATGAAGATACTTACGATTACTTACTAGTTGAAAAATACTGTACTTAATGCGGGTTTATTTCGAATTTTTTACTCCAGATTTGTTAAATGGTTTATTCGCATTCATTGCGAATGAATGATATTCAATGGCGAAGAAAAATTGTGGGACTTGATCGATTAAATTTCCTAGTCGTATGGCGAACAACACTCTGACTGTATCGTTTCTATTTTGTTTAGGATACAATTTGTTGAAAAATTATCCGCATTGCCGATTTATTGATAGGAGTGTTAAGATTTTTTACTCACAATTGCGCGTTGTTTAAAATAAATGAAATACAAATGCTGTAAAAATTGTTAATATCTAATAAATCTATTATATTTACATAATAACGATCTTTTTACATGAATAATTTCGTTAATCGTTATTTCAATTTCCAACTTAAATACCTTATTCGTTCGTAACTCGTTTCATAAAGTTCATAAATTCTTTTAATTTCTCGTCGAAATTATTTAATGGACAGTTTAATGTAATTATTGCAATTATTTATGACATACCTTGTTTGATGCTGTGCTATCAACTTTGTATCGGGAGAGCTCCTTTATAAATACTAGTCTACTCGATACTAATAAAGAAAAACTAATAATTAATAATTACTAATAATTGCAATTAATAATCTTTGAGAGAGAAAGAGAGAAAACGAAAAAATAGAAAGAAAGGAACAGAGTGGTGTTTATATAATTTATTTTTACAAAATATACATACATAATGCACAATAATAGACGAGAGTATAGTCATAATTTATGATTCTGCTAATACAAGATTGTTTTCATAAATTTAGAAATTTTATTCATAAATTTATATTACATTATATTATATTTATAAATTTTTTATTCATTAATTTAGAAATATATTGACACATAAAAAAAAAGAAGAAGAAACCAATGTGAATTATTTAAAAATACAAAGTACTTTTACGAAAATATTAATTAAACTACTACTACTACTACTACTCCTACCACAATACAACTAAAGTTTACTGCTGCACGTTACGGAGAAAAGTAAAATTCGATAAAGCGGGTTTCAGAATCCACAAACGATGAATTTCAGATTGACAAAATTGTGACGCAACAACGTCCGAGTGTCACAAGATAATCTAGTGCTAGGTATGATTTTGAAGAACTCACGAACACGATTCTGCTCGAAACTGGTCAGTCGTGGTTTAAAAGCCGCGTTGGTAAATTGAGTTCGTGAGGGAAGAGCTGGCCCTCTGGTACAGTGTGCGGTTCGTCGTCGACAACGAGACGAAAGTTGGTCGAGTTGAGAAACGTTTAGACTAACGAGCAGCGATCGACTAGGAGAGGACGAGAGAGCGTCGGCGCCGATACGATGCGACGCAGTCGCATTTGGACCAACCACCGGACGACGTAAGGGCGGAAGATGAACTCAAAGCGAGAAGGAGAGTGCACACTGCTCCCGAAGCAGATGACGTCGGGACCTGGCAGCAATCACCCTCGGCAGTATCGTCGCGATCGTCCGCGGCAGGGTTCTCCATCGGTGTTAGGGATGTGTTTCGTTTGAGAAGCCTCGCGGAAAATCCGGGGAAACTCCAGGAACTGGAGATCGGTACATCGATTTTCCTTGGTAATCAGCATCTTTCGTCAACAAATATTTCTCTCCCTTCCCCCCCCCCCCTCTCTCTCTCTTTCTCACCCTCGCCCTCGCTTTCTTACTCGATCGTGTGTGTTTTGTGTACATGTATCTCGTTTTGATCGCCGTTTCAGCGCACGGAAGATCTCCTCCACGTACTCGTGTTCGTATTTGATAACGGGTAATGGGACTCGAAGGAAAAGTGGAAGGAAAAGTGGGCGTTACGAACAGTGAACCACCTGTGAATCGATCTATAAAAAATAATCGACGATTGTTTATTGGCCTTCTTCCGCTTTGTTTCCCGCCCTTGTTTCCCACACGTTTCGAGTAACTATCGAAAGTCGAAGAGATTTCGCAGGGCCACTAACTTGGCAATCTACTCCTTCATCGGGACCTGTTCACCTGAACGACACTACCACTGAAATATGGCAAGTAACATCATCGAAAAAGTAATTATTTTATAATATTTATTTGAAAGATGTCAAAGTTCAAGTGTTTGCAGTGTATTTTTATTAAAACAATGAATTCTTCGTTGGTTCGTTGCTGTTACGAAACGGGGAAGCAGTGAACAGTGTACATATATACGTGGTTTTCCTAGAAATTTTAATACTCTTGAATTTTTATCGTTGTAATTCAAAATAAATCGAACAATTAATTTATTTCCTATTCGAGAGACTCTAAGTTACGCGACAAAGCATGTTACATTTAGTTGTAATTAGTGCAGAATAGTCGAGGAACGCTTTCAATTTAGTTAATTTCCATGTGTGTAGTTATTAGGATTAATTAGTAAGATGTGATTGTCTACGATTGTTTAATCATAGACTATTTGATTAATCGCGCCGTTTCACGAATTTTGCGATTAATCTCAACTCAGTTTCAATGTGTTTTAACTAATTAATTAACGTTACAGTAAATAGAAAATTAAAATATTACATAATTCCTATATGATACGAAATGCTATGTACTATGCTAAAATACTATATTATTGCATTGAGATACATCCAATTCGTAGTAATTTCCGAGCCCTTTTCAAAATTTACAATACTTTTGACTTTGCATTCTTCAAAAATGAAAGCATTTTTAAAAATTTCTTTCTCCGGTCGATTTATTTTTAACGATAATCCGACCGGAATATGTTAAAATTCGTCCTTTGTTTGCCGAAAACTATAAACTCACGTTGTTGCGCTTCAACATCGTTACAAAAACTCAATAATTGTTCGAATAACTATTGTTCTCCCATGTCTCTCCATTTTTTCTGACGAGTACTCAAATTTTTCAAAAAGAATGCAATCACACAGATGTGACAGATTTTTTTTTTTACGTAAGTGAATTTCCACTTAATAGGTAAATAACTTAAGAATGTTATATTCAAAAATTCAACTAACAAGTGTTATCATAAATGTTTTTGTTATGTGCATTTGGAGAATTATTTCCAAAAATAATTATTATACTATATATAGTTCATTCCATACTAATTGAAAATTATTAAATTGTTTCGTGTAATTAATAAAGAATCACTTTTCAGGGAAAATCTCAATTTTTTTATATTGAAAAAAATTGTAATGATCTACTGTTTTGAAATTATTAACACTAGTGATATTATTTTACAGATCAATGACTATTTGATGTTTTGAAAACGATCAACAAAATGAAGTATTTGAAGTTCGTTCTATTTACGTTCAACTTATTGATATGGGTAAAGTATTAATTATTTAATTAATACAGATTATATCATAGCGTGCCGACCTTGTTTGTATTTTTATTCTTTTTTTTTTTTATATTTACATGAAATAAAAATAAGAATTTAAAAATACTATATGTTTGTTGGTTTTAGTATGTTAATTGTTAGTCACGATACGAGTTTGTTCTTTGTTTATAAGAAAATATCAAGGCTTTATAAGAAAATATCAAGGCTATTTATACAATACTAAATTATCCTTAACACATATTTTACACTGATAAGCGATTCTTATAGAATTTTGCGTTCTGAATGCAAATATAAAAACCATTCTTCTTTGTCACTGCCAGTTTTTGAGAAACTCAATTTCTGTTATATTTATTCCTTATTTGTACGGATAGGTTTGAAACTAATTTTCAAATTTCTGAAACTCAAACTTTGCAAAGTTTCAAAACTTTCGAAACTCGAAACTCTCGAGCTGAATTTGACTTGCTGATTTTATTTTTTTAAAAGGAATGTATATTTATTTTAAGAACTGGAATTAACACTTTTATATAAATTTTTAGCACCTTTTTAACAAATTTTTATTCATTGATGAACAAAATACAAAAAAGAAGTAACACTATACAAAAATATATAATTCAAATCCTTATTTAAGAACATTAACATTCAAACCCAACTATAATACGGGTGTAGTTGCTATGTCTTTCAAAGTATTGCGTTGATGATAATGTAATAACATATTTTTTTAATAATTTCTTTAGAATATTTTGAATATTTTACATTTTCATTTCAGAATTACGATCAATCACATATTTGTGTACATCCTTGAAAACAAAAGTCGACCACCGAGCATTTCACACCCAACATTCGAGATACACACAGATTAAACATTTTTTACTCATGCTCCATATGATTCATTGATTTTATACTTTTTTTTTTTTATTAAAAGCTTCTAAAGTTTCGAAGAGACAAAATTTCAAATTCGCGAAACACGAGACTTTTTTGGACTTCAAAAGATTTCAAGATTTTATTTAATTTATCTAAGTATTAATGTTTTCAAGTAAAACAGATAATAATAAAAGAAATACGATATTAGAAATTTGTTTTATCTGTGTGAAATAACATTTTCAATGATGCAAGCTAAATTGCAATTATACGAATGAAACGACAGCGTTTGCAGTCTATCGTGGAAAATGTCAAGCAGTCGTTGATGTTAAATGTTATCTAAGGCTCAGTAATAACACCTTATGTTTCGCGGAGCTACTGTAACGCTGTGACTGAAATTAAAATCTTTACGGTGACGTTCTTTGATGGTTTCCAAGAGAATGGTGGTCTATCGCTCGCAGTAATAAGAGTTTCTTCCAAACCTACAATTTGAAAATAAATCAATTGAAAGATATTCAGAAAAATTTGTACGTCTAGGTTCTTTTTATTTTGAGCATTTTTTATAACATGTTTAAATGTTTAGGTGTAAAAATAATATATTGTAAATGCAAAAATAATATATTATAATAAAACTGATTGTAGTCATTTATGTAACACAAAAAATATTCAAAGTTTAAAATTTGCGTTTTCTCTTTTAAATTGAGAGTTTTCACGTTCGTATTTTCTTCTTCAAAAATTATTTCCTCAAAAACTGATGGTTTTCATGTTTAGAAATGTTTCTTAGTTGCTTCACACGTGATCAGTTGGAGATATTGTAGATTCGACAAATGTCTGCAATTTTAAATACATTATTATTAATATACTTTACGTATAGGATACTTTATGTAATTTATATAATTAGATCATGAAACGTAAACAACAATTGAAATAATAGCCGTAGAAAAATAAAAATAAATTATTTTGCGCAAGAACGATTAAATTTCATTGCATTTGCGATAGTTCGTTGCGCATGAAGTACCTTATACTTAGTTGTATACTTCCTTACTCTACCTTATACTTAGTTTGTATTTTTATTCTTATATTTAGTATATGTATACTTACTTTATATTTGTATACTTATATGTATACTTACTCTACCTTATACTTAGTTTGTATTTTTATTCTTATACTTATAGTATATGTATACTTACTTTGTATTTGTATACTTACATGTATACTTACTTAGTATATGTATACTTTTTTGTATTTTTATTCTTATACTTAATATATGTATACTTAGTTTGTATTTTTACCTTTCTTAGTATTTGTATACTTATATGTATACTTACTTAGTATATGTATACTTAGTTTGTATTTTTATTCCTATACTTAGTATATGTATAGTTAGTTTCATTAGATCATAAATTTTATTAGAGATCATTCATGTAGAGAAAAAGCTATAGAGAAAGACATTATTCGACAGTTGGCTGGATGGACGGTACTGACGATAGGAGCATGTTTACTATGCGAGCCAAGCAAAGGATACTTGTTAAACCTTTTCGTACCCGACGCCACCCCACACGAGACTATCAACCTAATCGCTTACAGTTTGCTGGGTCTCGGTTGTACGGTGCTGACGGTCGGTTTCTTTGGATGTCGCGCTGCTCTTCATGGAAATCAATGTATACTGGCTACCGTAAGTGATCGCATAGATTCACCTCGTACATCATACTTATAATAGAATAGATGTATCTACGATGTATTTTTATCTGCCTAGTACATGAGCATGCTTGTGGCACTGATCGTCACCGAACTTGTCACCGCTGCTGTTGGTGGACTGATGACATTTCAAATACTTTCCGGCTTGGAGGAGCGGCTGATTAACAAGTTGGTCGTCGATTATGGTCACGAATCGACCAGCGACATCCCCTTCAGCCACAGCCTCGACTTCGCGCAATATAAGGTAAAGCAGCAGGTTTAACCCCTTGCGCTGGCAACTGGTTCGCGGACCATAACGAGTGACCAAACCGTATACAATAATTCGTCGCTTTCTCTTCGAACTCGTCGGTATGACATCACTGAAGAAATATTAAGAAGTAATAAACTTATCATTCTTTTTTTCTTTTTTTTGCCTGGACTACATTTAAATATATTTAAAACTGAGAAAACATTGCAATTTGGGACAAGAAATTCTCGACGTGCGTGACACGTCATTCCAGCGCAAGAGGTTAATCCTCTTGGTACATAACAATTTTTTTTATATATCGTCTAGAAAATTCTATCGTCAAAGCATTGTCGTAGAAACGAAAGAATGTGTAAAAATTTCGGTAAAAAGGACATACTACTTTTCGATAGAAACATTGTGTAAAAGTAAGAAAAAATAAAAACTGCAATATTCAAACGTGCAAGATATGTTCAAGACATTAAACTAAGACAAAAATTACGGAGCCTATAATATATTGACTTGTGGGTTATATTTAAAGTAAATTAATTATAATTATATTAAATAAATTTTATTATAATAAATAAATAAGTAAATAAATAATAATATTATAATAAAATAATAATAATATATAATATTGTAATATTATTGTATATTAGTAAATTAATTATATTTAAAGTAAAATAATTAAAAGTATTAAAATTACCAAAAGTCTAAAGACTTAACACTGAATGTGGAGCGTGCATCAAATTAAGAATGCATTTATACTTTTATTACTTTTATACACGTATAAGATGACCGTGTAACTTGATCATTTTGAATACCTCCGTTGTTATTATATATATTATGTTGTTATTATATTAAGGTACAAAAAAAACTTTGTTAATAAAAATTGTTTAATGTCGGCCAGGGAAGGCCATAATATGATAACGATAACTTTTTTTTAGCTGGAGGAGTTTCGGAGATTTCAAGGTCATCCTCATTTTTTTAAATGAAACTACGTTTTTTTATACGACGATCGATGCAGCATTTTATCCTGTATAAAGAACTAATGACCTATTTATTATATTTATGTCGAAAAATTAGGAGATATTTTAACTTTAATTTTGTAAGATCTATGCACAAAAGTATAAACACAACACTATCCCTATCTTTTCTCGTTTTTCATACAATTAAGATCCAAAACTAATATCTCCTAAACTAATATGTACATTACATGGGTTATATACTATATTATAGTATATACTGATAATATACTTCGAAATACGTAGGTTAATTCTTTTTTATAGAGTATGTTGTGCTGCATCGATTAATGGAGCAGAAAATATATCGTTCCACTTAAAAAAGTGAAGGTCGCTTTGAAATAGCCTTGAATTTCTCTATCTGCAAAAAAAAAAAACTATTACTGTCATATTATCGCCTCCTTTTTTAATTAAACAATTTTTGTTGACAAAGTTTTTTCGTATCTTCAAAAATAACGAAGACATTCAAGGTGATCAAGTTGATAATTCAATCTGTATACTTTGATAAATTCAATACATTGTAATATGTCATACTCTTTGAATCTTCAATAAGTAAATCACTTCTTTTATTATTGATTATAAGATTATTTGTACACTACTCTAGCACGGAGTAAAATATTTAATAATGTAGTATAATTGATAATTTATTTTTGAAGCACGGAATTGTGTGACTACATTCCTTAAAGTTAAATAACTTATCATCGCAAAATTTAGAAAATAACCCAAACATAAAATAACTTATCATCGCAAAATTTAGAAAATAGCCCAAACATAAAATAACTTATCATCGCAAAATTTAGAAAAATAGCCCAAACATAAAACCATCGGCTTATTTTCATCACTATTCTCTCTTTTAACTTTTTGCTTTTGATACTATTTGTAAAAAAAAAAAAAAAAAACGTAACAAATCGTCACACACGTAAAAAATACGATATCTCAAAATTTCTATAATATTTTCTCATTCTTTATCACTTCAAATCAATTACACGAATATAATTAAAAAAAATGGCGTTAAACCATTAATGAAAGAGAATATTTGGTCGTCTAACACATATTCGCATAATTATTTGACGATCGTAATGCTGGGTCCACATTGGGCAGAACTGCTCGCGAATTGTTTGCCAATAGCAATCTGGCCACTACTTTAGCGAACCGCGATCAGATTACAACGAGCTCGCTTGCAACAGTGTTCACTTGATAAAGAACCTACTCGAAATGTATGTGGATACATTGAGGGTAACCAAATGAACAAGCCTGAAACTGCTAGCAAGCTACTTGCCGGCAATAGTGTGAATGCAATACTCGCGAATTGCTCATAAACTGCTCGCGAGCAATTCTACCCAGTTTATATCCAGGCTTAACGAAACTGCTCGTGAGCAATCTTGCCCAGTGTGGACGTGGCATAACGCCATCGCGTAGCCGTTTTTCGTTCGATAATTTTAAACGATGCTCCACGTTCTACGCAACGTGCGTCGAAATGTCAGAAGTCACACGATATAAATTTCATTTCTCACTCGAAAAATAAAATACATCTGACGCTTGACATCTATTTAGGCAATGCTGCTACAGTCCAATGACCAAACGTATCATTTCGTTGCAGTTCAATTGCTGCGGAATATATGGATATGGGGACTACAATGGCACAGCATGGTGGAGAGATGCGCAAATTTCGGGGAACAGGAGGCAAGTCCCGCTCACCTGTTGCGTTTTGAAAAACGTAGAGGTACGGATTTATTTTCAGAATCCCTTAAGGTGGCAATATATATGTTAATGAAAAAGCATGCCACCGGCGAGTAGTTTGTATGCTAATAAATGGCACGTTACGACAAACGTATAACAAATTGTACATTTGCTAGAGACATAGCATATTTTTACTGGCATGCAGCCTGATCGTATGAGAGTAACTAACATGTTGTTATAAATATGTTAATTACTCAATTTACGCATTAGCGTTTTTTGCATAAGAAACACGGACGTTTCTCGTTTGCAAAATGAAATAAACATTGCATTTTACTGTTACTTGCGAAGCAGTGCACAATTAAACTTTTTTTATTCCTGATGAGGTGCTCCTCAATTTCAATACATTTGATTGTTTATTAAACTATTATTGTTCGTTCCTTCAAGTAATTTAGATAAACTCTGTCTCGCGCAATTTTATTTTTATAAAGTAGTGGTATTGAATTTCACAAGCATTCGTATTCTACCAATATATAAATTTCATTGTTTTACTAACTTTTCAATGAGGCATTGTTAAGAAAATTAAATAGTTTTTTTTTCACCAAAAAATACTCACATACTTTTTGCAAGCATTCTTTTTTATGTATAAATTTTATGCTAGTAGTATCATTTTCTAGCTTCTGACATGCTTTTATGCGAGTAACATGTGTATTCCTGTCTTTAATTTTAAACATTATAAAACGTCGACAATACACACACACACACACACACACTCTATATATATATATATAGTGTGTGTGTGTTTATTGTTGACGTTTTATAATGTTTAAAATGAAAGATGAATCTATATATATATATACTTATCAGTATCGAGTACAGATTCGAATTTCAATGTTTCAAAAATGTCCATTAAAAATGTAGAATTATTCCATATTTTAAATTACTGATTACTGAATATATAACATTCATTTTATTTATTGTTAATGCTTGATCTTCTTATGTTTTTTTCGTGTTTAATAAAACCGTAAATATAAATCATAAAAATAAATAAAAGTTACTTTTAACTTGGTCGGATTATTTGTAAATCGCCGATACGACACCGAGTTCACAGTGTTTATTTACCGACATGTTGAAATTTTTGGCAATCATTTCATCGACGATGTTTTTCATCGACACGATTTTTCAATGATTTTATTTTCGAAGAAATCGACTTTGAAAATTTCTTTAAGTATATATTTCAATTTAGCTAATTCTAAACGTGGCAGAATAAAGGAGAATTATTCGACGTGCAAAAATAAATAAAAAAAATGTACAACAATATTTTTTTATTTAGTTTTATTTTCTAGAAAATAGATTTTGTATTTATTTCATTAAAGGTACACTTGTATTTGATAAATCTTAACTCAATTTTCTCAAAAACGAAGCGTTGAATCAAAAAATTTTATTTTGTATCTTTTTTTTTTATGAGATATCATCTCCTGTTCACTTATACATGTTATTCTGACCCAACTTGACTTATTTATAAACATTAGTTTATAAATATTAGTCCATTACTACCATTATTTTATAATTACTTATCCATTATTACCATTAGTTTATGAATATTAATCTAAATGGTTTTAATTTTTATTGAATAAAAATAATTGAAAATGATAGCAGCTAGAAACGAAATGTATTATAAATAAATGTGGTTTATGAAAGAAAGCAACAAGTATCGATAAAGTTGGGCGCGCTGAGTTCAGTAGAATTCAAAAAAGCATCGACAATTCGTCTTTTCGACGTGAAATCTGAACAGTGTGATCACGCTCCGTGGAAATCAAACGGTTGTAACCTTAATTTCGTAAAATCTATCGTATGAAAGAGGAGGAAACTATTGTCATTATAACATACTGTCCTTGTCTTTCATGCATAGCTTTTATAAAATTAAAGTTGAAATAGTTCCTAAACTAACAGTTTTTCGCCACACATAAATTAATATTTTTTTACAGAGAACGACAAGCTGTATCGATTAATTATTAAAAAATATTACATATCATTTCATCTACAAAAAAAAATCGAAGATGATGTTTCTTGAACAATACTGAAAATATAAAAAAATTAGAGTACATTATCACACTTATCGTACAAAACGTTAGAACCTTTATCCTTTTTCATTTTTTTCAGAAAAAAATTACGAGGAAAACGTGATATCACGAACACGTTGTATGACATGACTTACAAGGGAACATACCGAAGACGAAATCGCTGATTTCGATGAAATTTGACATGACTGTGGTTTTCAAAGAAAATGTTTGACCTGTATTTTTTTTATCGGCAATGGTTGATATTGAAAGGGTGAAAACAATCTTCAAAGTTGGGGGTGCGAAACATATTTTTTTTATCGGCAATGGTTGATATTGAAAGGGTGAAAACAATCTTCAAAGTTGGGGGTGCGAAACATATTTTTTTTATCGGCAATGGTTGATATTGAAAGGGTGAAAACAATCTTCAAAGTTGGGGGTGCGAAACATATTTTTTTTATCGGCAATGGTTGATATTGAAAGGGTGAAAACAACCTTCAAAATTGGGGGTGCGAAACATATTTTGTTAAATATCTCCGAAATCATTGAAGATATCACTTTTGTGTATATGATGAAATTAGTGTTTTCTTAAACGACGAATTTAATGGTGTATATTTTTTTGCAAATAAAACTTTTGTTTAAACAATATATTTAATATTATTTTTGATAAGTCTTTCCGAAGTAAATGTTAACAAATTTTCTTGAATATTTGTTTATAAATACTATATATTCAAACACAAATTACCGATAAAATAGAATCTTGATATTTTTCATTATAAAAAAAATCCATTATTTTCAAATTTTTCTCGGTGGGCATGCAAAGCAGGATGTAACCTGAAGTTATTCTCTGTTCGTAAATATGTTTTAAAATGTTAAATGTTAATATATTTTAGATCTGATAAAGGCTGATTTTATTGTTTAGTACTTACTACTGTTTATAAATAGATACGTTCAAAACACGATCAAGAACTTTGAGGGTAGTTTTCACCCCTACAACATTAACCATAGCCGATAAAAAAAAATACGGGTTGAATATTTTTTTGAAAACTACAATCATGCGCCAAATTTCATCAAAATCGACGATCCCGACTTCGGTATGTTCCCTTGTTGGTAATATAATTTATTTTTACTTCTCGACTTATAGTACGCAATACCATCAATAGAAATTTTTGAATAATCGTGATTGCAAAAAAGAATTTGAATCACTTGGCTGAAATTTTTTGATTTCCTTCGGGCAAATTCATTCTGTTTATTCTGCATGAATAAAACTACTAGCTTAAACGTAAATACAGAAGTCAAGCGTAACTGATTAAAATTGTAATAATATATTGTAGAACACAAGATCGATAATGTGTTGATGATGTCGTTGTCGATGATTTTGAAGTGTCGGCAAATAAATATTGTCGCCGAACTCGATATCGATGAAACCGTGTTAATGAAACGATCGTCGGTAACCATTTCGGTCTGTATATATTTTCCTTCACTTTTCTTGTAAATATATACCTATATAAATATCAATTATTCCTATTAGATATATACATATAAATATCAATTATTTCTATTTGATATATACATATATTGTAGATATATAAATATAATTATTTATACAGGGTGTTTCGTAACGTGTGGGATCCACTTCGGGAGCTGATTGTACGCCTAAAAATAATGAAAAAAAAAAGTCATATAAATATATGATTAATATAAAGTCATATAAAGTTATATAAATATATGATTTATCCTATCTGTCTTCGTTTATGAGATATAATGAATTTTCTGTTTTAATTACTTTTACAAAAGATGCTCGGAATGACCACCTTGCATTTAAAAACAAGCCTGCACGCGTCTTGTCATTCATCTGATTACTCTCTCTATCATTCCTGGTGTTTCTCAAATTTGTCGAAAGCCTTGCTCTATTCTATTTCCTAGTATTTCCTAGTATTTTCAATCGATGTTGCGTATACAATAGATTTTNGAACGAGCAGACCATGCAATAGGACCTCCACGACCAATCCATTTATTTGCAAAGTGTCGATTTAAAAATTGCCTAGCCACTCGACTAAAATGCGGCGAAGCTCCATCATGCATAAACCGCATGCCAAGTCTAATATCGATTGGAATTTGCTCTAATATTTCGTGTAAACGCGTGCTGAAAAAATCAACGTATTTTGTGCCTGTTAGTTTCCCATCAAGAAAAAAAGGTCCAATTAAAAATTTATCAATTATTCTTGACCATACGTTTAAACTAAACTGGTGTTGATGTCTTGAATGCACAATAACATGTGGATTTTCTTCATCCGAATTATCATTATTATGAAAATTGAATATACCATCCTTGGTAAAATTAGCTTACTAGAGTTTGCTCTGTTTATAAGATTCATTATATCTCATAAACGAAGACAGATAGGATATATATTTATGTGACTTCTTTTCATTATTTTTAGGTGTACAATCAGCTCCCGAAGTGGGTCCCACAAGTTACGAAATACCCTGTATATTTACAATACATATACAATTATAGTACATATATAAATATCAATTATTTCTATTACTATTATTATTGCTATTATTTCTATTATTATTGCAGGTAGTAAATACGGAAAGTCCAATGAGCGTCGTGTCAAGAGTGTTTAACAAAGATGTAAGTATTTTCGATCAACGTCTACATTTTTTCTACATTTCATTCACGAAATTCTTATTTCTTGACGAAAGACCGAAAAACCGTGGCTAAACCCGAAACCAATAGACGAGGTAGCATGTCAAGTGGAAGACGAAGAAGGTCATGATGGATACCGGCATAAAGAGGTACAATTTCGCTCCATGATTTAGTCATTTTACAAAGGGCAGATTGTTCGATTCAATGATGTATGAAGGATTTACACAATCGTACATTCTACAGTTAATTTCAATTTTAATCTCAACGTAGTTCAAATATGAAAAGAAATATTTCTTTTTCAAAATATCGTATATAAAGTCACACAGCTTGTAGATTTAATGCGATAAAGGTAAGTTCATATTCTGATGTATGTAATTAGAATTATATATTTATTTTTGATATATTTCATATATTTTTATATAAAATATATAAAAAATAAATATATAATTCTAATTACATTTTTATATTTATGTTTTATTATATTTTTATATTTTTATATATATTTATGTTTTATTATATTTTTATATTTTTATATATATTTATGTTTTATTATATTTTTATATTTTTATATATATATTATTTATGTTTTATTATATTTTTATATTTTTATATATATTTATGTTTTATTATATTTTTATATTTTTATAT